CGTATAATCTTGGAGATAACCGAACTTAGACGTTTCCTAAGGCGTTCGTTCAGTAATTGCAAGAGAGAGCTGGGGATGGGATCGAACTAGGGTCTTACTTATGGTCGTGCTTCCGCATTACTAACCACTGCGCTATCTCGTCCCAAGCATTATCTATGGATTGAGTGCGTAAGGAATGAAGAGATGACACACCGCTCCCGTAAACATTGCAGAAGTTTTAGAACTTGTTACAAAATATCTTTGGTTTCCCGAGATAGTTCAGTTGCTAGCATACTCATCAACAATCAGCTGAGTACCATTATATCCGCTTGCTTATAAAACAAACTGCTGCGTTATGAAAGTTCATGCTTATTTCCTGAGTAAATTTCTAATAAGTTACTCTTATTTCACCTCGCTATGCCACTGACAAAAATTGAGAATTACATCTTTCACACAAAACTGTTTAATGAAGAGTTACCCACGAGATCAACAGTTTGTTGACAAACCAAAAAAATTAACAAATCTTCTTCTTCTACTCCATTTCAAACATCGAACGAGAAACATCTGAATGCAAAGTTTCATGTGGCTCTCGTCTAAGTACCTACTGGATCACCCTGCATACTGGTTTGTTGCTTCAACGTAAGTATTACACCCAGAAAGTAACAAATGTGTTGTCATTGTTATTACACCATCTTTAGAAGAAGTGAAGCCATAAATCATCATGACATCGCAACATGTTATCTTTGTACTTACTTTCTCTAGCAAGAACCTATGCATCTACGAGGGCTCATGCATTTAGTCGAAAGGTTACCTAAAACCTCTCTGCAACGGCTAAGGTATACAAGTGCTTGATCGAGGGCAAACTCACATTGAATTGCTATATGCCCTTCCAATGAAATGATGTTGGGTCGAAGCTCTGCGACCTACCCGTGGATATCTCAACCAACAAGAAAAGTGAACAAGAATCTCATTTCAAGAATTAGACTTACACTACAGAAACATTGAGTAAGATGATAACGCAGAACTTGTCAAATTCTCAGAACATTATTATACCAAAATCTGTGAGGACTAGAATTGAGTAGCAGCTCGTAGAGTGGTGGCTGGACGGGCTGGGCAAAACACACGTAGTCGCCAGTTTTATCTCGGGCCGAAGAAATCTTCAAGCTCATCATTTCTCAGGAATCGGGAAAACTTGATGACGACTAACATGGCCAACATTGGTGTTAAATAATTGTTCCATTACGTTTCTAAACTCCATGAACGACGAGCTCCTATAGTCAAAACTAAGGAATCCGTGTACGCAAAAAGTGGTAGAGATGAGTGTACTTTTCCCCTATCAGCACCCATTTTCGGCCCCTTAGCAAAAAAGCGTCTTTTGTTTTTTAGAGTTCTAGTAGTCATTCGATTGGTTAAATCTCCAAAATTTCAACGGTGTATTTGATGTTCAAAAAGATACCCTTTTTTTACCCTTTCGGTAGTGTCTTACATTCGATTGCCCTTGGATGGTATCGTCAATTGTCACACATGTTTTGTTGCAAGTGTTTTTTTAGGACCACGCTCGACTTTCAATGTACCTAATAATCTTTTTTTTTTGAGCCATTCATGTGATCTGTTTACACACACGTAATTCGGCCTGGACAGCCTCGTCAGTGAGACAGAACCCTTCGTATACAAAGTTGGTGATGACGAACATTTTACACGTGTCAATAATTAAAAATACAACAAAATCGCAGTGTTGTACACTCAAATGCTCCTGGATGATATCGCTAAATATATCATACCTTTCGTCTCGAGTGCTTTCTTGAGTCTTGAGACCGCGCTCAATTTTTCCTATCAAGGCCGAAAACGTGTATCGGGTTCTATAAGTTGTCCCATAACACATCACATGCATGGCTCAAAAAATGATTATCAGGGATATTGAAAGTTGAGCGTGGTCTTGAGAAAACACGCGAAACAGGTATGATATATTTAACGAGTGCAGAGCAAGAGCAATCGAGTGTAAACCACTGCCATTTAGTGATATTTTCACTTAATAGCACGTGTAAAATGTTCGTCGTCGCCATCTCTCAATGGAGACTTGGGTCACCCCGAGAGAATTGGCTAAAGACGAAAGGTACTGTCCAATTGACAGGGCTGTCAGGGCCGAAGCATGTGTATTGAGCGCTATAAGTTACTTTTTCACGCTCAAGCAGCAAAAATAAAATCATGTTTCACACTTGGGCAACTTCGGCTGAACACCGCTTTTCTCAGACCTTTAAAAACCCCAAAAGAAGATTAGGGCTCGCACTTGGTGCGCACTTCTTGTCGGTTAGGGTGTTTGTAATGTTCCGAAAGTGTGACGGCTTGATGCTGATGTTGTGAACTCTTATCCGCATACCGGAGAAAGAATGCGCGCCGCGTGTGAAATGCAATTCTATTTTCAATGTTACAGCTCAACAAGAGATACTTTTGAACCATCAAATAAATTGTTAAAATAATTTAGACTTTACGCTAGCAAATGACTTCTGAAATTCAAGGAAAAGTTGACCAGCAAAAATGCTTGAGTGTGAAACATGATTAAATCTTACTGTCACAGCGTAGTAAGCAGGCTATCTTGGAGACAAAATGCTGCCTTAAAATTCTTAAGATATGGAATGTTGAATGATTAGAAAAAACTCTGCCAAAAAGCAAAATACGTATCTTTCCCAAAGGGGAAAATGGGTGCGGATAGGGAAAAGTAGGCAGATGAATACTGAAAAGCACAAACCTGTTAGGGACAGTACTCCAACGCATCGTATCCTGTTTCTCAAATGGTTACCCTTCGACTATTCCGTAACTCGCTGGGCGAGATGAATCTGAATAAATACGACTGTGCTTATTTCGCTATGTATGCTTACAACCGAAGTTAGCATCAAGTTATCCGGAAAACAAGATTGTAAAGACGATTGCTTCTGTCCAGTTTACATCACAACCCTCGTTGTGCCTTAAAACGGTAACAAACAGATAATAAGACTAAAATGCGCCTATGTGGTGCCAACGGAATGCGCTTTTAGAGCACTGAAGATCGAAACTTTTTGTGCAGATCCCGGCACTTCCAACATTGTTTGAGTCATCTCGCATTCATCGCATAACTGAGGATTTCGTCTTCTTCATAAACGACGTAGAATACTAATCGGGCCAGATCTCCTTGAAACTTCGAGGATAGCCAGGCTGGGGCATTCGTTGGGTTGCTTGTTGGTTGATCGCCGAAGAATGTTGGCGCGGGAATGCGTGACCTACCTCGCGCCGAGCATCACTAACCACCCGACCAGCCCCCCCCCCCCCCCCCATAGAACAAAAGCACGAACTATTAGCGAGATAGTATTGCTAATCGCGGCAATGAAGTAGAAGTTTCTAACGATGATGAAGAACTGGTATTTGAAACTTACGTGGAACTGCACTACGTCAAGGAGATTTCCCTTTCGGTTTTCGTAGTTTCCACGTATCGTTTCTTCTCATTTCAAAGAGTCGACAACATACATTTGACCTGCAAAGGTTCTTGGCCAGTAAAGTTCCACAAACGTTATTCTGATCTATAGAGATATGTCGAGTTCAAATGAAAATTGATGTTCTGATACGTGTAGCGAAAACGAAGTATTAGTGAATATACGTCTAGGAACCAGAGGTAGATGAACATAGGTCTCATCAAAAAGTTTTAAATACAATGTATTGAGGCCTGATCAACGCCACCAAAAGTACCATTACTTGTAAAAGACGCAAATAAAGCCCATCATCAGCCGAAATCCAACACGAAACATCATTGACCCCAACATTACGTATGAGGGGCAATGGCAGCGCAGGGGCTAATTATGCAGTATATCAGGAAGCAAAGTGATAAAGCAAACACAGTGGTTTGATACCTTTCCGAAAACTCTCCTCTAGTCAGTCAGCGGACACCTTCGGGAACATCTTAGCACGGCTACTTTCAGGATTGCAAGATGGATCGTCTCGACCAATATTCAATGACATTCATGAAGAAAACGAAGTTCTCAAGCAGCGACCGAAGCAACACGTGAAATAACTAAAGACCCTAATAAGGATTATGCGAGGAAGCGATTCAATTAGGGAAAGTGCTGGGTTCCGCACAGAAAATTTTGATGACGAGTTATATAAAATAAAATAGAGCGCTTATATAGAGAAGGCAGTGGTTGTGATTGTGTCCCTTACACGAGTAGGCCACCGACTGCGGTCGCGATTTGACCTCTCGCCGGGCTCACCAAACCTCCCACCACATAGGTGTCGCTAAATTGCTCAGATCCACATGATACACCTTAACTACTAGGTCCTCTAAAAAGTTTTGACACTAAACAAATGATTTTTTCTATTTTATTGATCCGCCTCCACAGTGATTTTTTTTTTCACTTTGCAGATCCCAGCACTTCTAACATTCAAGTCGTTCAATCTTCTTCATGAACGCCGTAAATACTAGTTGAGCGAGTCTCCTTACAATCTAGAGGATAGCCTGGCTGTGGCATTCCATGAGGCGTTGTTGTTGACCGCTGGAAAGAGTTGGGGGTTGAGCTCGACTCCTCGCGCTCAGTGAGCATCGCAACCACTCGGCCACGGCGCCCCCAGAAGAATAAAAAGCTAAAGGATAAAGCTCTTGGCGTTGATCAATCCCTGAGGAATGCGCCATGCATTCTTATTCAATTTCTAACTTCGCTTTGAGGTGATTGAATGCATATCTGGCCTTTACAGTGATTCACGGAGGCCTTCCGCTGTACCGAGTTAGTGCTGCTTATCCTCCCAGATAAGTCTGAGACCAGTTTGGTACCAATTTACTGAACCCGGAGGTATGGATGGCTTAGTAAGCCATGAGCGCGAGATGAACCTTTGACCTCGAGTGCGACGCAGAGCACCTCTCCACACTGCGCCACTGCCCGCGTTCATAACAACAAAATACATATCCAATAAAGTTGACTGGTGTGCAAAACTTTGAACGTCGGACGGGATGGTTGCTGACAGATCGATACTGTTGTGTCCAAGAAGAGTGTTGGTAGAACGGCGCATCCGTAGTGCAATGGTTAGCACGAAACCTCGCAAAGGGTGAAATGCGGGTTCGAATCCCGTCCGACGTTCAAAGTTTTACACATCACTTAAAATTATTGAATATGTGTTTATAACATTATACGACCGCCAAAGCGGTTAAATAAAAAGAGTTATGATTGGTTATGCGAGTAAAAAATGCACATGTAAATCTGTCAAAAAAAGGATAAAAGTAGTAATCATAATGCCCTGAAAGACCACCAATAAGTAACCTTAGGGGTCAACAACTACCAGTTCGTTTTCATGGCCACCAAAAATGAAAAAAAATGATAGCAGTCGCGACGGGTTAGATTCGAATGTTGGCTCAAGGCCAAATGGAGAGCCAATAGTGCAATGGTTAGCACGCATCCTCGGAAAGGGTGAAATGCGAGTTCGAATCCCGTTCGACGTTCAAAATTTTTAACATCATTAAAAATTATTGAATATGTGCTTGTAACAATGTAAGACCGCCCAAGCGGTTAAAGAAAAAGAATTTTATTTGATCATAAAAATAAAGAAATATACAGAAAAAAACGCGGCAAAAAAAGATGGAAACGGTAATCACAGCGCTCCTGAGGACCATCAGCACCATCAGGGGTTAACACCCACCAGCTCGTTTTCATTTTCTCGAACAAAAAAAAGGTTGCAGTCGCGACGTTTGGATTTAAATGTTGGCTCGAGGCCAGAAACGATGCCCTCATCCTTTATAGCCGACTCCATGGGGTTACTTTTTATCCACGACCCCCCCCCCCCCCCCTAAACCCAGTTTCGAGAGCTTTCCGGCCATTCATAACCATACTTTTGCCTAAACGTAATGACTTTTTATAATTATCTGCTTCATAGTGAATGCTCTATGGACTCAATGAGCTACTAAAGCAGGAACATTGCTATTGATTCAATTACCCTATATTTTATTGATTGGCCCAAGACATTATGTATCAGGTAGTGTGGATTCCAGGACCTTATGGATTCGTCTCATCTTTCGCAACCATCATCCGCAACGGTCCTCCACCATCGCATCGTGGGCAGACGTTGCTCTTGGAAAATCTGTCGATCTGTCCTGGAAATTGTCCTTCTATGCAAATTGATTCGTCGTAAAATCGTAAAATGACCATGATAGCGCGTCCTCACGTGTAATAGAGTGTCTGGGCTGAGTATCCCAGACCACAGGTCTGGTATCAGCTTTCCAACCTTAGGCAAAAACCTCCTCGAGATGAGAGGCCGGGTGTGCCACGGAACTGGTTCGAATAGCGCTTGGTCGTATCGTCGTTAAGCGATGATTCACCTAGTTTCCTCCTCAAATGTTGACTTCAGTGGGATTTTAATCTCTATTTTTATTTGATCCTACTCCGTTTACTGTTCAAAAATCAATACTGACATCATTAAGAAGTCGAAAATGACTTAACCGAGATTTGGTCAGATTTTGGTGAAATTCTAGTCGCTCAAAATATCTTAAAAAAACGTACTGAGCAAGTTGTGTCTATGAAAATCAGCTACTTTTTGGCCTTACTGAGGCAAAAATAAAGGTCATCACTGGATGTCCAGTTTTCCCCTTACTAGGGCAGATCGTCGGCACTCCATTGTCCTATTCCTATAGTTTAATCAGAGTCAGAGATGTTGAGGAAATCTGAGTAGTACGAAGTTCAGTACTTGGTATTAATATCTTCAAAGGAGGCGCTGTGACCGAGTGGTTGTGATGCTCGTCGCGACGCGCGAGGAGCCGAGCTCACCCCCCTCAACACTCTCCAGCAGTCTACACAGTCACTCAAGCCCATAATTCGAGCGGCTAAGCGATTGGAGAACCTGAAATTTATTCACGATATTGGATGTTCTTTTCGTCTAGGTGAACGATTCCCGCTCTTGCGTTTGAAAATATCAAAAAATGTCCTTATCGTTTTAATATTTCTTGAATTACGAATTTTGTGCAATTAGTTGAGGATTCTAAACAAATATGAAGTGGAAATTTCAGAAAAATTACGTAATGTTTTGAAACGATTAGATGAACTTTCCCCTATCTGCTGAGTTCTTTACCGTCCTTGTACTGTGATTTTCAACAACATTTAAGCTTCAGGATTCCAGAATGAAGTCACTATGAGTAGGAAGGGTTGCAAGAAAACACGTCCGCTGGTTTTCTGACCAAATTTAGGATATATGATCGATTTCTGCGCGTGTGGCGCAGCGATTAGAGGTTTCCTGCGATACACGTAGTTGTTGGTCCGGTTCTACCGGCGCCCATGGGTTCCACCAAGTCTTTCACGACGAAGTCACGGAACTGGTGCAGGATTTGTGTGAGTGGATGACAGCAGTGACGTGGTGTATCGGTAGTCCACGCCGAGTCATTGTAAGGGCCAGGTATGCACTCAGTTACCCCCCATAGAAGACCTTGATAAAGTCGAATGCATGGTGTTTCCCTCGAGGATTGGTAGGAGACGAGAGCGTTATCGCTTACCCTTTATGGTCGACCTCGCCTTGCTTTTTGAACATGGTTCTTTTTCTCTGAGTAGTTCTCTACGGAGGATGGAATCTGTCGGTTTTGACTTCATCGAGAATTGGAATAGATAAATCCCCGCAATTACCTCCTGTCTAAATAGAACCTGATAATGCACCGTCGGAAATCGAACCGGCGCCTTCTTTATGGGCTAATTGGGACTCGTTGTCCTCCACATGGCTCGTCGTTCCTCATAGCATCTCTCCCAACCTCTCTCCGTCCCTCCGTTCGCTATCTGCTTCGAATCAATACCGCGACCTCACATTGTATGCAAATTATACGCTCATTCACTCAAATATACTGCTAGGTAATTAGATCAAAAGTGCTTTTCAACCTTAGTCAGTAATACATTCGATGAGGAAATACCATATAATTTTTTCGACAACGCCGCGACATTTTCATCGAGTGTTTTTTTCGAAGTCATTTACCAACTCAATCGTATTTTCTAAAACTCAAAACTTTGTCCTTATTTTGCCTTTGAAACTGAGTGAAATTGTGCAAATACCTGTGAAAAAACAAGCATTCGTCGTATTGGATCGCGTCATTTTTCGATATGTTTGTCGTTTTCCTATCGTACGTCATCTCTCTCCGATTTTTCCATCGTTTGAAGAGACTTTTTTGACGTTTAAACGCTTTCACGAACGTCTGAAAAGTACATGTAATTGTAGCGGACATCTTTGTGCGCCGAAATCAGTCTATATTTCTCGTGGGACCCGAGCATTGATGGCAGTTAATGAGTTTTTTGCGACTGTCGTTTTACTATTTAGTTTTCAAGAAAAGAAAGGAATTATAGGCCGAAAAAGTTTCTTTCCGATTGACGAAGTAATAACCACTATTCAGTCTTGTACGGTTCAAAATCAGTACGAGCAGTTAAGGGTTATTAGCATTGCAGGCAGCTATCAATACAGTACCCTAGTGATATTTTTCTCGGTCTTATCAGAAGTATTTGCTCGGCTATTAACCCTTTGTGGACAACGAGGGTCATTTCGACTCTCATTAGAGTTCTTTTTTCGCCGAGTAAAGTTTGTTATTTAGGATTTGAGTAATTCGAAAGCTTGAATCTCGGAAATTCAACACTTTACTTATTTTCCAAAAACGTCTTTATAATACGCTGTAGCAGCAGCAAAAAGAATATTATGCTTCACAGTTGGTCTGTCTTATTTGTTAAGCTGAAGCCCGTGGGTCGCTTTCTATTAGACTTTACTAAGCTAATTTGACAGCCCAAATCTCGGTGAATCTGAAACACAAACCGGTTTCTCGAAAAGGCTTTTCATTAGCGCTCTGCGAGAGCGAAAATAAAATTACGTCTTACATCCGGAGTTTTCTTTGCACATAGGAGTTATATATGCATAAAAAGTATACGAACTTGTAGACAAAGTTATTTCCTACCAGACTAGTACGAGAAACTCAAAGTACTTCTCGGAAAAAAACTTTGTTGAGGAACTAAAAATAGGTGCCACTGGCGATATCACTTATGCTCCCGTCCACAAACGGTTAAATAACTTGGATCTCCAGTAAAAGAATTCTTTATTGCTCTGAAATTTCCATTGATATCTTTGGAGTGTCACAAAATTCGGAATAGTAGTTTTGCCTACGGATTTCAAATTTACTGAATAAATTGGAATCGCATTCTGACTACGATTGGCATGACGATTACTTATTGAATTTCGAGGTTTTGAGCGAATACGGGACGTTACTAATTTTGGGACAGATGGTAATTGAGTAGATTATCTTCGATACTGACGGCTATTAAGTTTTCTGTAACCTAATACTCATTTCGGGTGCAGTTTAATTTTGACTGATTACTCGCTGGAAGGAGTAATTTAAAAACATATGTTGATAGGATAGCTGTGGGAGGCGCTGTGGCCGAGTGATTGTGATGCTTGTCGCGGAGCGCGTGGAGCCGAGCTCTACGCCCCAACCCTCTTCGGCAGTCAGTAACGCTTTATGGAACGCCATAGCCAAGCTATCCTCGGGATTGCAAGGAGACTTGCTCAGCTAGTATTTTACGACGTACAAGAAGAAGACGAAAAAACGAGTTCTTGTTGATCCGTCTTCACAGTCTTCTTTTCACAGTTGTGGAGTCCAGTACTTCTAGCTTTCAGATCGTTTATTTGTTTCGTCTTGAACGTTGTAGAAAAATTGGCTGAGCGAGTCTCCATGCAATGTCGAGGATAGCAAAGCTGTGGCGTTCCATAGGGCATACATAGTTGACTGCTGCAGAGTGTTGGGCTGGGGTTCAATTCTTGCACGACGCGTCCATCATCACAACCAGTCAGCTACGGTGCCCTTTATTATTTATTATCTATCTTTATTCCATATGACCCGTCTTCGCATTTTGTTGTGTAAATCCCACTACTTCTAGCTTCGATTCGCCTCCTCGTACTTTCGCTTGGAGATTTCACTTCTTCACGGTCGTCGTGGATTACAGGCCAGGCGGATGGTGGTGCATCTACCCCGCACCGAGCTTCACTAATCGCTCGGCCTCAACCCTCCTTATTCATAGCTATAGCTAATATTTTGACTATTAGTATGTCCTCGTGTTGTGTATTGATGTGCTCGTATTT